TGAAATTCTTTGCAATCTGAGGCTCTAACAGTGCAGACCCTGGAAAAGCTGAGACTTTTCCCAGTGCTCCAGCAGGAATGGCCAATGAAGAACTCAGTTCAGGAACTAAAACTTGGATGACACAGGCTGGGAGAGAATGCAGGCGCCTGGAGAGGTTAGGGAACAAACCCAGGTAAGTGAGAAAGTCTTCACCTAAATTGAGATCTCAACTCTGGTGCCAGCGAACATGTGCAGTTTTCTATTTTAAGTGACTCAAGGGAATTCAGGCTTTCTTTACTCTTAGAGTTAGAAACAGATGCACCCAGGTCAGGGGACAGCTCAGTGGCAGAGCCCTCACAACATACAGTAATGCTAATCCCCTCAGGTACAAACCAAATAACAAAATTAAAAATGACTCACAACACAGTTCCTAGCATTGGGATTTTGTGTGCTAAGAAGGGGTGAGCTGGTCCTCACCAGTGTCACCTCGGGGAAGTCTATGCTTTGTGGGAACCAGCACTATTGCTGTCACCAAAGGACTCATACAGCATCCTCTGGGTGACTCGATGCTCCCACTGCCCATCACCTCTGTCACTGCTGCTCCATGAACCTCAGGCAGATCAGCTGGGGCTCAAGTCTCACCTACACTGCCAGCTCCTCCAGGTTCCCATCTCCCTTCATTTACCCAACCTGTGCCGACCATCACAAGGAGTCTGCACTGCTCTGGTTTTGGATGAAAATGACTTTGAAAGGTGCTTCCATTAGCAAAGGAGTAAGTCCACATGATACTGTAACTTATTTGAAATATTCTAACTATTATTCCTTGGATAATGTTTTAAAAGTAAAATATTATGATCTAAGGGAAAGCATCCTACTATGTAATTTGATAAATCAGAAATGAAGATGTCAGAACTTGGAGATAAGGCTCAGTAGTTAGATCACTTGCTGTTCTTGTAGAGGACCCGAGATTCAGTTCCCAGCACCCAAATGGGCCCTAACCATTTTATGTAACTCCAGTTCCAGAGGATCTGATGTTGTCTTTTGGCATCTATGGACATGCACATTGTGAGAATTTATACATGCAGGCAAAACACCCATACATAAAAAATAACAAATATTAAAATTAGTCCTCAGTTCCTAGTACACACACACACACACACACACACACTTCTTATGCCATCACATTGCCTCACTGTTGAATAAGGAGTAACCCAATTTGATGAATGTAACTCACTGTTTTCCATTCATATAGAATCTTTTTTTTTCTAAAAGAATGGACATAAAAATATCTTTTTTATGACATAAATCTTCAAGTAAAACTGAAAGTCCAGTATAAATCAAATGGTCAAAATATTCACAAACACAGGGAAGGAAGAAACATTGAAGTATGAAAAGGGCATCACACATGTTAAGAAGTAAGTGGTGTTTTATTACAGCCAACGTATACAACCTTTCAATAATCGACAGAAACTAAATGCCTGAGAATGAAATGACAACGCACTAGGAGCAGAAATGACTGTAAGTTCTGTTTGGAATCGGACACAGATGTAGGTTCACAGTAGAGTGATTGCTCACTATTGGCTAAGGCCCAGGATCAAACACTAACACAGAAGAATCATCATCATCAGGAAACAAAAATAACTGAAAAAGTGATGTCAAAATGAGCCGGAAGAACCACATTTCTGTGTGACATTTATGTTAAAATAACAGAAAACCTTAAGGCATGATGATCCTTGTTACAGAGCCAGTTTAAAGAAAAGTAGAACTTCACCCTCTCCCTGTTCCAGTTGACTGACAGGGAAGAGCATTGTTCATCCAGTTACTGTGTGTGTGAGCTGCACTCTTTGAGTAGCTACTGCTTTCACACACTGGACTCCTGAGGAGGGAACAGCACTCTGCAGCAGGCTCATCTCAGGCAGTCGATGCTCAGGCTCCCTCAGAGCTGTTCTGTGGCCCTGTCTCCTCATCACATGATTTCAACCACAGAACAACCGTCCTTTCCCTCCAGCATCTCCACCCTTCTCTACTTAAACCTTCTCCAAGTCCATTCTCTCGTCTGACAGGCTACAGTTTTATCTGCTTATCCAGTCACCATCCATTCCCTCACAAGAAACACTACATCAGGAAAAAAAAAAAGGCCATTTTCTCCTTGACTCATTCTTAGATTTTCAACTTGTAGGATGCACTGATGAAATAAAGCAGACAGGTCTGAGGAGCTCCCAGGTGTGCTGAACTCCTTGTACTCCCCGAATTAAATTTCCTACTTGAATTAGTCATTATAGCTTCTATGAATAAAAAAAAAACAACCAGAAACTTTTTCTGTAAGTAAAACGTTAATCATGGTCTACTTGCTCTATTGAATATTTCTCTATGCCAGGCAGAGTGGATATGACAGACACAAGGAAGGGAGCAGAAGACAAGTGTGGCCCTGCAGTAGACTGACTCAGAAACACATTGCTTCCATGTGAGTTTTTCACAATATAATTAAAATCACTCATCAGATTACCTTCATTATAGTCGTTCTTGGAAAATCCTTGAAGTTTTTAAGAGAACGACAGATAATCCACCAGAGTTGATGCCAGAAAGGGGTGACCCACGTGATCTCCTCCAAGGCTGAGTTCCTCCCTGCATTCTGTTCCCCCAAGAGTGGATCCAGTTCAGTTCTCGTTTCACTGTATAAGGAGGACTGGGCATACATATTGGCTAATTCTTCTGTGACTTGGTGCTGTCTCTCAGAAACATCTTTATGTTCACCAGATTTGGGATAAAAATGGATAAAGACAAGAAACAGACAATAATTTAACTGATTTTTCTGAGACAGTACTCATGAATAAGACAAAAATTATGTATCAGTTTTTCTTTGTGACAGTCTCATGTACCCTAGACTGACCTCAAAGCAGCTATGAAGCCAAGGGTGACATTTAACTTCTGCAGTTTCTCCTGTTTCTGTCTCAAGTGATTGCAGGCATGCACCTTCACATCCAGTTATGTGCTGGAACTAAACTCATGGCTTTATTCATGCTATGCAAGCATTCTAGCTGAGCTACATCTTCAGGCCACCAAACTTTGAGCATAATAAAATTACTCCTGTGTAATTCCTTTCAGATTAGAAAAATGTCCCTAACTGCCCACCTGAGAGCATTATTCTTAATAAAATGATGGGCATTTTGATTTGGTTTTATTTCACATAATTGGATCTCTTGCACTGGTGGAGCTGCCTCTTTCTTGTTATTTTTACTTATCAGATACAGACACAGGTCTTGGTGTCCATGTAGCCATCCCTGTCCTCAATTCTCCTGATACAAGAAGCTAGCAATAGATGTATACATCCTGAGGATTAAGTGCAGCTGACTGATTGTCTTTTATATACAAAGCTTCAGTTTGGGATTCCTTTAGCATTCCTTGTAAGACTGACTTCATAGATATACAGTAGAATTACTGATTTTCTCTGTGTAGGCACAGTATAGACCCTGCCAGCCAGCAAGGTAGTTGTCTGTGAAGAGATGATTTCTCTGTGCTTAGGATCTGTTGATCTGCAATACGTTACTTAGAAATAAATGTACTTGGGATACTGGAGTGAGTTTTCTTTTAATCTTGTAAGGGGAATGAAAAACATGTCACCTGTATGCATAGGAAATTAGGAAAATCAATGTATGGGACAGAGATTAGGATACACAGATGTTTCTTGGAAGTACGTTGGCCTTGAAGAATCCATGTGGAGGATAATGATTGCTTTACTGAGAAGGCCTCGTGGGCATCCCATAACCTTGATCAGAGGACACTTCATGCACAGCTAGGGCTCTTGTATTATTTCTGTACTGCAAACAATGCTTAATGAAAGTCTAGTGTCTGAAGGCACTTGGTGCTCCCTCCAAACAGACATGTACATTAAGTTTGGGGACCTTGGAATGAGGAAATACTTTATGTAACAATTGATAAATAGCCTTTTGTACAGCCAGATCCATCCCAGTTAGTCCATCAGAAGAGGCTGATGAATAAAGAAGGATGTGATCAACAGAATGTGTGAGAGTTTTTCTTCCTAACCCCTTAGGTAGAAAAGGTCTTATCTTCACCAGCCCCGTGGCTTCCCTCTGAACCCAGAATTACCTAGAAGCTGATCCCTGAGGCAATAGTTGTGTTTTAATGAAATCAATGAGTTAAAAATCTGTGACTCTAGAAGACTCACTTACATTCATGGCCATCTTCTTCTGTGTCTAATAGAGCAGAGAAATGATGTCCACTAATGATGTCCAGGAAGAAGTCCGCAGGGTCGTTGTGGGAATCATAGTCATAACCTACCAAAAAGGTAGACCATGAATACAAATGGAGGACCCACTTTCAGAGAGTGGGAAAGTAGGGGTGGGGGGCAGAATCTAAGAACTTCTTTCTCTACTTGCCCCTCCCATTCACTATCTTACCCTTTCCTATTATATATACACTCATAGGATTTCAGCAATCTCTGTTTCACAGACCATTGAATACATGTGTATGCTTATATCGGTGCTATACATACCTATACACTTAAACATGGATAATACACAGACATCGACAGAGTAGATATAGACTAGACATAGACCAGGACAACTAGACAAACACATAGACTAGACATGTAAATAGACTAGACAAAGATCTGGTCATAGAGGTAGATTAGACATGGGGATAGAATAGACATAGACTAGGCATAGATATATGAACTCTTCGAGTAAAAGGATCACTTAAATTTGGCCTAAATTTTTATTGAACTCCATAGACTCACAAATGCTCACACATTTTAAAGGCAGCAAATATTTAAACCTGTATTTGTAGTCAAAGAGAATAATCCATAACAATATCCACATTTCTCTAAGATTAATTTGATGGCATGACCCATTAAGAGTATGTAATCATCCAATCTGACTTTTAAAAACAACCTGGCAGGCATAAACATGAGTCCACAGAACCCAGACTTCAGCCACTACAGCCCTCAATCATGGCCTAAACCTGAAATGCAAAGTTACTGCTAAGTTAAGTAAACTCTGCAGTCAGGTGACACTAGGGAAAAACCGAAACTCATCGTCTGCCGCACGAGCAAGAACACAATGATGCTGGGCCTTTACAAAGCTATTCAACTTATGGGTAACTGGGCCTGAGGCCAGCATGTTATTTAAGAGGGTCACCATGAGTAGGAAGCAGAACAAGAGGCTCAGTAAAAATCCTGAAACACAGACATGACACAGGACAGGAGAAAGGAAGGAGACCTGTATAGCAAGCCTGTCCTGCACAACTAACAGAACCCTGTCACCAAATTAACCAAAGGTTTTTAAAATGGAGAAACTCACATACAATAAGTCTGAATGAGGGCCAAGCAGTATTCCTGAGAACCCCCGTTCTTTCCCCAGATCCCGTGACTGAAGGCGCTCTCACAGCAAAGCCAGTCATACCTGCAGATATGAAGTATGGCAAAGCCTCCTGCGCAGGCCCGTGAAACATGACTTTTCCTGAGGCTACTAAGGTGAGGCTGTCAAACAGTCTGAAGATGGAGTACTGAGGCCGATCAATGGAGAAGATGATGGTCCGTCCCATCCTAGACATCCTAAGTTCAAAGAGAGGAAAAATCATAAGTCCCTGGATAGGGGAACCTTGAGATTCTCGACAAAATATTTGTACTCTCTGTTCCCATTTCAGCTTGAATTGTTCTTAAAAACAACTCGTCTCACTTGTGTTATGCACCTGATAGAGAATCCAAGCTCAAAGCTTTTATTTAAATGTTTAGGACATCTTGAAGTGTGGATCATCAGGAGTTCAACTCCACTCGAGTGTTACTGGCAATGTCGATCCCTGCACAGTCCTCTAGGCAACAAATCAGAATATCTGGGAGTCAGTGCAGGGAATCCATATTATGAACAGGCAACCCTGGTGATTGATAGTTTCACTCAAGCTAGAGAAGCAAATATTACAGTTATGACTGTAAGCACAATTTCCCTCAAACATTCACACTTTCTGTCTCTTCAGGAATTGGTTTTCACTGCTCTGATTATGTGGCTCACACTCCTAACCACTAGCTCTCCCAATAAACACTTTATCAATAACCTCATTTTCTTTGCTCAGTATCAGCATGAAGCAATTCTAGTACAGTTTTCTCTTTTGTATTGATAAGGTCTTGTGGGATTTAAATCCATTTAGACAATGACTTTTGGGGAAGCAAGGCCTAGGGTATGGTCCTATCTGCATAAATGACCTCTTAACAAGCAGCAACTGGTTTACAGCATCCTTGGCAGAATGACAGGGCACAGCAACTGGATCTAATTTGTTTTGTATCAGTGAGTTTTATCCCTATTTTACACAAATAAATTCTTGAGATTCTTCAACATAAGTCTTAAAAGGTCAAGCAACAATCCAAGAGGTCAGTTAGTGAGGGACAAAGCTGAGATTAGATTGTTGGTTTAATTCCATGATAGGAAAAAATGAACTGAACGACCATTTAAGGAAGTCAAATCTTACGTTAGGAGAAGCAATAACCGAAAACAGTACATAAAACTTCCTTGAAAATATATTTATAAAATCTGGGAATGGAGGCATATCAGTCCTGGACTGACCAGCTCAGCTACCACCCAGGCACACATTCAGGGCTTTGAGTTTGTCCAACCTAATATGTACCCCATCTGTGACCTGCTGGAAGGCATGTAGGGGTATGCTGAGGGTGAAGTGTGGATATGGGGAAAGTGACTGGGTGTTGTGTGTGATTGAGGTGCATGATGTAAAATCCCAAATATAAATAAAGAATTGTGTTTTTTTAAAAGCTGGATAGAACTGTAATTACCCAGAACTTCGGAGGATCAAGAGTTCAAGGCCCACCTAGGCTACATAAGACTATATTTCATTAACACATACAGAATGAATAAAAAAAGAGAGTGAGGGAGAAAGGGAGGAAAGAACAGATTAAGAAAGGAAGGTAAAAAGAAAGGAAGCAAGGAAGGGAGGAGGATAGGGAGAAAAGAAGGGAGGAAAAGAAAAAGGGAGAGTGAGCGATCAAGGCATGGTAGTGCACACCTTGAATTCCAGCAGGACAACCTTGGTAGACAGGAAATAAGAGCACAATAATGGCTTAATAGCCAATTGTTTTCCTGACAGACTATTCATAAATCACAAAAGCAAAAAGCTAAATTTCATATGGTATAACCAGGAAACACATGTATGTTTAGATGTTCAAGATTCAAGCAAGGCAAGCAATATGGCTCTGTGGGTAAAGACACTTGATTTCCATCCCCAAAACTCAGAGAGTGAAAGGCTAAAACCAAGTCCCTTGAGTTTTCCTATGACCTCCAAAAACATGCTACACACACACACACATATACACACACACACACACACACACAAACACACACACACACTAGTTAGATATAAGAGATAGATAGATGATTGATAGATAGATAGATAGATAGATAGATAGATAGATAGATAGATAGATAGACAGAATGAAAAAAAATTAAGATGATTCTACCACAAGGTACTTACTCTTCATGGGGTGTTGAGACCAAGGAGAGCACAACATATCAGGGCCTGAGCCTGCTCCCAGAATTCTGGCATAAACCATAATTGGGATGACCCCATACAGTGCACTAAGAAGAGCAATGGAATAAGACACAGGGACAGAGAGAAGCGCTCCACACAGGAATGTGAGCAAGAAGCTGATCTTAGAGTATCCAGGAGAGGACAGATAGGGAAGAGGCTGACACCGGAGATGTCTGCAGATAGAAGGTGGCAAGGTGCCAGTTGTTAACTTCATCACTGGGAAGGCACAATGGTAAAGTGATCTTGGATCTTAGAGGGATAAAACGGGGTATGTAAGGACCATGATGTCAGAACAAAGAAAGAACAAGGGGAAGGAAGGAAAAACAGAGAGCACAGTAAAGTTCAATGGCCTGGAGCCTAGGTCATGGGAATGGGATAGTCCTTAAATGGTTCTTGGGGTTATTCAGTCAATTTTAAATTCTACTAACTTCTAAAATGGACAAAACCCAACACTTACAGATTTTCTCTAAATATTTCAACCACAGACTTATTCCACGAGAGAAGAAAATGCCATTTCTTTTACTCATTCTTCCCCAGGATCAGGATCCAGACCTTAGCAATCATTCCTCACATCACATCCAAGGCTAGTGCCAGAGACAATGCTCTTTAGTCTATATTCTAAGCTATCTATAGTCCACCATTTCCTAGCAAGGGAACCACAAGCTCTCAGCCTCCTGCTGACATTTTACACCCCATAGTGCAGATGCCCAGTCTCCTCCATGATGCATTGCTCTGCACTAAACTCAGAAGCTTTCCCACATGCCCTGCCATGGAAAACCTTAGACCTTACAGTGGCCCAGAGGGTGTAGGTAATCTACATCTAACCCAAACAGCTTCTTTCATTCAGTTGTAAAGGTGGAGAGCTGAATTGTTTGCTTCCAAGGACTCATTTGTGGAATACTTTACATCTAAGACTTAGTTTAGAATGTGACTCTAATTGGATATAAAGTCTTTAAAGAGGTAATTAAATTTAATTGAGAATACTAGTGTTCCCTACTGCAAAGGTGTCTCTTTGAGATCAGGGCACAGACACATAGAAAGGAGACATCATTGACAACCCAATGACCCAGGCCTCAGAAGACACAGCCTATAGATACCCTAATTTCTGGCATTCGGGATCCAGAACTGTAAGAAATGTAACTTCTACCAAGTCACCCAGCCTGTGGTGTCTTTAGCTGTGCACTAGTAATCTTCCCTCTCCTCGGGCCACCAGGTTCCAGTCCACCCTGTCTCTCTAATGTTCCAGACACACCAAACATGCTTTGCCTCAGAATAAATAAGTTTTCCCTCCGATCTGCATTCTGTTCAGATCTCACCCACACATCCCCAGCTCTCTTGACCAATGCTTGTGTGCTATGGGGACATGCTATTTAAAGCAGTCTCCACCTTCACCACAGCCATCTTCCCTATGCTCTTGTCTCATTGTTCTTGATGTGCATTCCTTGTTAATTCAAGTTCCCATCCAATAAACAAGGAAGAAATTTTGTAGCCTACCTCTGAATCTCCTGCACCAAAAATACACACATGAGGTCAGGTATTAAGATGCTGTAGGAAAACTTACAGTTTGTGGTTACCCACCTACTGGGGCGTGGCCTCTTATACTATAAATGTTGATGCAGAGCCTGCATCTTCCCCTTTTTCTTTCTTCCCTGACTGCTTTTTCGGATTGCTGAATTTCTGGGTTTGATCTCTGTTCTCCATTTAAGCAGAGAATTCTGATTTGTGAGTTTTCCCCTAAATAAATAACCATCTATTTCTCAATTCTGAGCTACTGTGGGATTTCTTTTAAGTATCTGTTTCACATTAATTTAATAAAATTTAATGTTCCTTCAGCACTTACCTTCTCAGGATCGAGATGACATCAGTAGAAGTGCTCAAGTCTAAGCCAGTGGTGGGATCATCCAAGAACAAAATGGGATGCTGGGTGACCAGCTCCATGGCTATACTGGTCCTTTTCCTGAGCTCTTTAGATCTAGGCTAAAGCAACAATGACCACCATCATCAACAAGAACACCAACAGTCAATGTTGTTTGTTGAACAAACCTGTTCAAGCAATAAAAAGTTTTGTTATATCAATATGATGAGGAACAAAAATATGTGCACCTGGGAGAAAAAGATGGTTTCTCTTTTCCAAGTGAACAGAAAGAGGCTCAGGACAGACTTGACATAAAGCCTATGCTAATGACAGTTACTATCTCTTCTTCATCAAGTCACATATTCTAGGTAATGAGTTATCACACTCAAAAGCTGGCATGGTGAATTCTCTTTCTGAGCAATGAGGAAGACAGGACAGGAGAAGATGTAATATTTCTAGAAATTTAGTATTTATTTTACAACCTTTGAATACACATTCACACACATACTAATGCATAGACACACACACTCACACACACACACAGATATACACACACATACACATTTATAGACAGACACACAGAGACACAGATACACTCACTGCTTTTTTCAACACTTTCATGTTTCCATATTAGGGTCTTTTCAGCTCTCTTAAGACTTCATGAATTGACATTATTCAGCATCACAGATTTAAGGACTCATCCTTCTAGACAAACTCAAGAGGTCATAGAGTCTACAGGTCAAACTGGCACAGTCTTTGTACCACCCAATGTCATGTGTAAGGTGAGAGGAAATAGCAAGGATTTTGGGGACACGGAACTAGGGAACAATTCTTTCCAAAGATGATAACCAAAACCATGATGAAGCTCCACTGACAGTATACAACAAAGGATGTTTGAGGAATGTGGACGAGTGTGGTCAGGACAATGATGTAGGTCGACCTTCTGTCTATATGTTACTTTCATTGGTCAAATATTGAAACTGCCTTGGGCTTTGATAGGACAGTAGCTTAGATAGGCAGAGTAGACAGAACAGAATGCTGGGAGAAAGAAGGAGAGTCAGGCAGACACCATGATTCCCCTTCCCAAAGTGGACACTGGCTAGACTCATGCCGGTAAGCCACAACCTTGTGGTGACATACAGATTATTAAAAATGATTTGAATCAAGATGTGAGAGTTAGCCAAAAGGAGGCTAAAACTAATGGGCCAGGCAGTTTTTAAATTAATACAGTTTCTGTGTAATTATTTCAGGTAAAGCCAACCAGGCAGCAAGAAGCAGCCCACCCCTCCTATTACTACAGGACAAGACTGAGGATATAAAGAAATCATTAATTTTCATAGTTAAGAATAGAGTTTATAGCTTAGAGTAATGTTTCCTTTGTATTTTAATAAATAAAGCTTGCCTGAAGATCAGAGAGTAAATCAGTCCCACTGATCAACCTTACAGAACAGGCAATGGTAAAACAACCTTTAATCCCGGCAGCCACACTAGTTTGCCACAGTAATTGGACAGTAGTAGCTCACAACTTTAATTCCAGCCCTAGAGAGAATGATATAAGACGGGAGGAGACAGCCCTCACACACAGTCTCATCTGAGATTCCTGGAGGCAGGATCGTCATTTCAGAGGGAGGTAGAGGGAAGAGTCTGTGGCTGGCTGTTTTGCTTTTCTGACCTTCAGGTTTAATCCTAATTTCTGTCTCTTGGTTTTTTATCACTTGTGCTATAATAGGAAAGCAGATGTCCTTGTATTTATGGATGAAAATTAATTAAGTACTCAGTAGTAAGGAGCTTCTAAAATGCTGCACTGAGAAACAGCTTTAGTGAGTACGCTGTGGTGAGCCCACAAGCATTATACAGCAAAAGTACAGCTGACGGACCATTAGACAATTTCACAAAAAATATAATATTATGAAGAACCCATGTTGTAGAGCTTCGGGAACTCCTGTCTTTTGGATAAGTCACTTTAATTCTGTAGAAACCTTGTGGGATCATAACAGTTCTCCCAGCAGTGTAAACCTGACTCTTCCTGTAGGGCAACAGGATACCACCCCCACACTATGAAGCCTGACAGAAAAGCATTCACTCAGTCAAACCTTCATTCTCATAGAAAAAATCTACATAAAACTAACCCCCGACAAGTTTCTTTATTGACCGCACTCACTGATAAGAAAGGAGCCCAAAACTGGAGGCAATATATCTGCTCTAACAGTAGATTCAGGAAGTTGTTAATTACTGGCCCTTTTTTCTAACCTAACAAATTATTAATATTCTGTATTTACCATTCACCTTGGTTTCAATTAATATAAGATTATAGCCCAAGAAACTAACTGTTTTTACCTTTACCCCTAGAGATATGCCCTGAGCTCAGAAAAGGCTGATTCGGTAATCACACATATATTCAAAGTTATGGCCATCATGGGTATACCTGCACAAATAAAAGCAGACAATGGTCCAGCATATGTATCTAAGAAAATGAATGCTTTTTTGCTTATTATAATATAAAACACATTACAGGTATACCAAATAATTCTACAGGTCGGGCAGTTATTGAAAGATCAAATCGTACTATAAAGGATATGCTGAACAAACAGAAAGGGACAGAAAATACCCCCAGAAATAGATTGCATAATGCTTTAATAACCTTGAATTTTCTTAATGCTAATGAGAAAGGAACAACAGTGGCAGATAGACATTGGATAATGGAAAAGTCTGCTGAAGTAAATCAACCGGTTTATCTCAAAGATGTGCTGACCTATCAACAGAAGCTAGGAGATGTGCTATGTTGCGGAAAGGGTTTTGCTCTTCTTTCCACAGGAGAAGAAAAATTGTGGATACCTTCAAAATTAATAAAGGTTCGATTTGAAGAGGAGAAACCTCTTGGAAAAGAGAAATGACAGCTCATCCACAATGATCATAATCATACAGATGGTAAGAAAAATGTATAGAATGGGGGCAGGGTTCTGTTCTTATCTCCGCAGGAAAACACTCATCTTTGAAAAATTCAAGGGAACCTGGATGTTTGAATACTGACAGATGGAAAAATAACTACCCAATAGGGACTATCAAGAAAACTGAATAGGTTCTGTAAGTATAAAAACCTAAGATATACTATGTTATATTTCTAAATTTATAGAGCTGGTTTTAGAGTTGGACTCTTGCTCAGTCCCTCTCTAATTCCAAGCCTGTTGTTAAGAGAAAAACCCAGAGTTTCTGGAGTTTCTGTCTCATGTCAAGAGCCATGATATGGTACAGAAAGAAATATGAGCTTAGAAAACATCTTTGCTTTTCTTCATATCTATCATACCTTTCACTGAATACATCTATCATGCCTTTCATTGAATATATGTATGTCTGTATATGTCTATATAATTAATGTTTAAGTTTTCCACAATGAATAATGAGTTTTTCCTGCACTGACATTTGAAGTTTCCAGGAAGAAGATGGGGCCCCATAACAACAACTCCACCTGGTTGAGATGACGTCATGATACTGATAGTGCTACTACAAGACCTGTTTTGGGTACCAGCTGCACAAGACGGTTCCAACTTGGTTAGCTGAAATGATGCACATCTTGTACAACATTCTGGCCAGACCTCCAAAATATTCAGAGACTATTTGCAATTTTAAAAGACATTGATCTTGAAATTTAACCATCATTTTACTTTCACAGGATCCCCCAGAAAGAGTGTCACCCCCATGACAGCTGGAAATAATTATAGAGGATAACATCCCCTCTCCCAGTAAAGTTTGTCCTTGGGTTTAGGGACATAATTTAGGGGTTGATTTTAATTAATATACAGTTGAGGATTGGGGGAGGAATTTTATAAGCTCAGGGATCTTTTGGGGGGAAAAAAGAGGGATAATTGGATGATGGGATAATAGATTGGTACTTGTAAGCTATTGTTTTTAGACAAATATATTGATACAAAGTTAAATTATATTGACTACTGTATGCATGCATGCTTCTACCTCTGCTTAAAACATTTTTATGTATTGATATATATAGATTGTATTGATATATGTATATTTACCATACTGCATTGTACTTTTCTACCTCTGATTAAGATACTTATATATTGTTTATGTAATGATATATATATATATAGATATATAGATATAGATATATATACCATATTGCAATGTATACTTGTACATTGTTTATATTTGGAGGTCACATTGTCCTCATTTATTACAGAGTTGTTTATTGTCTTAGTCTTTAAGTTAGATAGGTATTGAGAATTATTTAGATCAATAGTCATCTATGTTTGTCATTTATAATTAGACTAATCAGGTTCTTTAGATGAATAGAGATTATGTTCAGTATAAATAGATAATCTTCAACCTCTTCAAAGAGCTGTAGAAATGGCCTTTAATCTAACTTAGAGTTTCATGGTAGTTAAACACAATTGCTCCTGGCAACACCGATCTACTCCCGAGAGAATGTTGAACACCAAAGACACTCCACCTGGAGCCTTTCTTCTTGGCAGAACTGGCCTTTGGGTAAAGAAATGCCCATACCTCAACTACTGACAGATACAGAGTATCTGTAAATGGATAAAACAGGACTGTCATATCCTGCCAAGACAGGGTAAGATAGTTTTGAAAAGTTTCTTGCCTTTGAAAATGGTATGTCAGTTACGTTAGGACTTAGGCAAAATTGGTTGCTTCAACACTGCAAACGTGAGTTTGGGTTATTGTCCAGATAGCCAATTGTCTCTGTGATTTGTTGCATGTTTTGGAAGTCGTTTGATTGCACTTCCTAATTACTGAGGTAAAATTATTTTCTTTCTCAGATATATGTAATTACTTTCCTCTCATGATTTGAACAAGTTATTTATTATATGACATTCCAGTGTGTGCTATGGCATTCAGGCACCCACAAACACACACACACACACACACACACACAAACACACACACATGCACACACATACGTGTGTTCCCACTACATACACCTTTTCCTGAAAGCTATCATAAAGAAATAATATTAAAAATCTTGAAATCTCTTCCACTGCATTACTTTTGAGAAGTTAATAAATATTTGTTTGTTATCCTTGTTTTATAAACAAGTAAGCAACTAAGAACAATGACTAATTATTGGTAAAAATTAAGCAAAAAAATACCTTATTATAAGTACAAAACCATGTAAATAAACAGAGGAAAGCACACAAAACTCCATCACTAAGGAAAAAAGAAAGTGCGGTAATTAACAATTTTTCTATTATTATTCTCAACTAGATGAACATCTCATGAATGTCTGTGGAGAAGGATTATGGGAATCAATAGCCTGTACTTCCCTATTCCTCACTGCCTCTAAGGAGGAGACACCACAGGACTTAATCCATGAGAATCCTATTCTAGGGAGTTTATTTTAATCCATATATACAAATGTCTCCTCAGCAAACATCTCTACACAATTTTCGCAATGTGTTGATGTCATTGTGAGAGGTAGGATGATTTGGAACAGATAAGAAGAAAGAAGGTACCATGATATTATAATCTCTAAGCATATAATAATTACAGTACTTAATCAGGTTCTATAAACAATGTAATACAAAAGAACACTTGAGGAATGTGAATGGTTATAACCTGACAGGGCTGGGGATATCAGGATTTATTTCATTTTGATAGTTAAGGATGGAATTGTTAAGATAAGCAAACGTCCTTATTTATCATGGATAAAAATTAAGTATTCAGGGATGAAATACTATAAAATATTCTTTTTAAATATGTTAGTAGGAAACTAGTTAGGTATTACAACCTTCAGCTGTGAAGCTCACCACTTGCCCATTGCTTTCCCTGATCCTGTACAAATCTCAACAGGAAGAGTCACTTGGCCTCTTTATTGCTACACTTGCCCAAGGTTGTACCTATAAAACTTTACACAGGGTCTTAAAATATGTATGACATAATATAAAGAAGCAGGGAATGAGGGCAGAAGTACATCCTAGCTGTCTGGGCAGTTGCTCAGATTAAAGGTAAAAAGGGAGCAAAGGGTTTTATTTCAGTACAAAATTGAAAAGTACAGTTGACCATTGTAGGGAAGGCAAGACATGAAGCTGCTGCAGCTGGTTACACCCAGTCAAGAGCACAGAGAAGATGGATGCACAGATGCCTGTCAGTGCTCAACTCACTTTTTCTATTCTCACAACACCTAGGACCCAAATCCCAAAAATAGAGCTGGCTAAGTGAACTGGGTCTTTCTACATCGCTTAACTTAATCAGGACAATTACCCACAGAAATGCACACAAGTCAACTTGACTATAATTTCTCTTTGAGGCTCTCTTCTAGATGATTCCATGTGATACTAAACTGTATTCAGCTGACAGTGAAAACTAGTAACCACAAGTAAGGATAAAATAAAAGCACAAGAAAAAAGGCTACAGAAAATAACATGCGCTACACAAGTACGAAGTAAGTGCTAAAGAGACCTAGGACAACCATGGAGGAAAACAAATGCATAGTGAACACAGAGCCAGAGTTCTCCATTGCACAACCTGTGTCTGTCCAGAAGCACATTCTGAAACAACGAGGGACAAGTCCTCTAGGGGAAGTGACAATAAATTGAAGAAAGCACTTGTCCAGTTCTCTAAAGTCAAGAGTTTAAGGCTGAGGGATGAGTAGGCTCATGTGAGGAGCACTAGGAAACGGCCATGTGAGGAGCACTCTTCTTTGCTAAATCACACTCCATTCCCAGGTTTAGCCATTGTTAAGAAGGCTTCCCAGCTAAATTTTCTTTTAAATCTTGTAACCAGTCACTTGATTAACACAGAGAGCAGTCAGTGTGACTACATACATTATATGGAACTGCTGACAGAGGGTCATGTAATCCACACATGTATTTTTCCCCTCCTTGTCAGCTGAGTCTTTCCAGACTTTTCTTCACATTACCTTGACATTTGACTCCTTATCCAGATGCAGAAGTTCAAGGACCTCATTAATTCGCCTTCTTTTTTCATCTCTTGTCACAGTTATTGGAAGTCGAAGAGCTGCTGAAAACTCTACGTTTTCTCTTACAGTCAGCGTGTGCATCACCATGTCCTTCTTAAGGTTAAATAGAATTTCAATTAAATATAGTGATCAGTGAAACAATCATTCTAACAAATGCAACATACTCCTCATATAAAATATACACAAGGTAATACTTTCCTTAAAAAAAAAACTTTCAATTTTACTAATTTCAAATACAGAACCTGAGGCAATCATTTTCACCCCTTCCCATTTTCTTCCAAGTAGAGCACAGGGATTTTGGTGATGGCTACCTCCAATTATTTGCAGAAAACATCTAAGCAGTGAAGAAGGATGAAGAAGGGACAAAATTTGACAACTGTAGCACTCTGTATAATTAAATCACACCTTCAATTACTAATATTGTGCTGTAGATGTCATGCTTCAATCTCCCCACATCTTCCTATTTTATAATGTCATCCTCAGGGTAATGAGTCATTGTAAAAAGCCAGTGTAGAGAAAGTATGGCCTTTAAATGTGTCATATAATGAACTGGAGAAACACAAGTCTATTAGCTTAGAATCCAATCACACAGAATGAGGGGCAATCTAAAATTACAAACTCAACAGTACTTACTTGTGGCACATAACCAGAAGTACATGTGAAATTAGCAGGTCGAGGGTTTCCATTTATCAAAATATCTCCAGATAATCCACGTGGATCTTTCCTTGCAGCTAAGACATCTAATAACCTACAAGGGTTACATATATTGTGTGGTTTATTTCCTTCCTTCAGTAAAAGCTATCAGTTTTGAGATACTCAGAATAAAAATTTTGCATATCAAAAGGCTGAAATATCACACACACACACACTTCTTTCTGTTCAGTATGTGTTCTAATACAGCCCAAAACTATGAATTTAAAGCATGGTCTGTATGACTGCCTCTCCCTGCCATCTGACCTTAAGGAATCAAACAGGTAATGTGCTACTGTAGATGGAGAATTAGGCTTGGTTCTTGTCTTCACGAAACTGCTCTTTCATCATTCTAATCTTAATACTATCTCACCCAAAAGAAATAATATGACCCAACACCATACGCCAATCACTGTCATTTGCTAGCAGTAAAGTGACCTAGTAAGACCTCCTGCTCCTGCTGTAAAATTAGAATGCACCTTACTGCACACTACCCACAGCACACAGGACCAGACTAACACATACACACTCACAGATACACTCACTCAGTACTGAAATAACTCATCTTCACAGCACAGAAACTGGATACAAAGCGGAGCACAAGTAATAAAAACTCAGAAACAGATATTGGCGTTCAGCCTGAAGACCAGAAAAGAAAAAATCAATCAATCATTGAGTCTTACATGAACCTGTTGTGCAAACTCCTTCAGCCAATAGCCTTTAAGATACCAGCCCACTTTGGGTGTGGTCTCCTGCACTATAAGTGCAGACAAAAATTAAGTGCGGCCTCATCTTTTTCTGCTGGATTTGATTCCAGTACCCAACGCAGGGAAAAGACTGCAGATTGCTACCCATACTGGGAGTTTATCCCCGAATAAATAAACCTTTGTTATACTCCATTCTGGGATATTGTAGAACTCTTAGATATGACTACACAACCTCAGTCCAAAAATGGTGATCCTGCCTCCAGAAATCTCAGAATGAGACTGTGTATGAGAGCTGTCTCCTCCTGTTTTATAATCCTTTCTTGGGCTGGGATTAAAGGCATGCACCACTACTGCTCAGTTTCTATGACAGACTAGTGTGGCTACTGCGATTAAAGGCGTGTGTCATTGCTGCCTAGTCTGTAAGGCTGGCCAGTATGACTGTTTTATTTTTCTGATCTTCAGGCAAGCTTTATTTATTAAAATACAAGTGAAATATCACTACAACAAAGGGCTTTTATATGCTTTCCATTATACTCACAAAGATCTGCTCCCATCTTGTGGTCCCATAATTGCATTGAGGCCAGGTTTCATGATCCCACTGTAAACACAAATTTATACTGGTTGATTTTTTTATGTAAAGGAAATTATATTAGTTAAGAGTCTATGCTGAACATGATATTGAAGTTGGATAAAATTGCTCACAGAAAATAAGTGCAAACTCATAAAATTAAAACATTATTAGGAGCCTATTACTTATCAAAGATGTCAGTTGCTAGCAGAAACTAATCAAAAGTGCCTCAGGTATCATAAAACCTCTGTTTATTATTTAAAGACTTGTCTTCTGTTGTATGTGGTGCATCTAAGATAAGTGCTCCTTGAAGCAAGTAGCAGTTTCTCATGAAGACTCCATTACACACACGGTCATTATGTGCCTAGTATATAACAGTTTCCTACTACTGTTTTATGATTAATATTTTCATATAACTCTGCTTGCTGTCTCATAGACCTTGTCACAAGAAACCAATAATTCATGAGACATCAGTAGCAATGTAATTACCACTAAAATAGAATCAAACCAAAATCAATGCATCTTAAGTAGAAATTCAAATATTAGAAGGACAAAAGAGTACAGGAGAGAGTTGCAAAGTTTAACACTGAAAACAACAACAAAAAACAAAACACTACCTTAATCAAAATGGAAAAACTAAATATATACCGATAAAATGATGATTTCCTTCCCTGATAAAGAGATCAGAATATGTTCAGTTAAAGTTGGGAGACATTCCTCAAGTAGAAGACATTATTTATTGATGTATAGGTATAGCACAAACACAAATTATGTCCAAAGAATCTGATTGATTAATTCAGAGTAGTGAATATTCAAATTGAAAGGGGCATAGTTTTTTATTCTTATAGAAAACTTAGCTATAGTAGGCAGGAGAATCTCAGGACTCTTGCAGTCTGCTAGCCTGGCATAACCAGCAGTGAGCAATGAGTGACTCTGTTTGTCACACGGTAGAAGGTGAAGACCAGTGCTCAGGGTTTCCCCCTGACAGCCTTGTGCTATGGGTGTGTCATAGTATCCACACATCTGCACATGTGAACATACACACATATACACTTAAGCACAAACATATATATATATATGTATGTATGTATATATTTATATATAAACACATACACTTATGCATACACATAAACAGATATATACATATACACATAAACACACACAATTTGTCGATAATAGAGAAAGCTTGTGTTTGTTGAAAAGCTGTTCAATGTTGTGGATTCTACTTCATGCACATACCTGATATTTGACAGTCTTTCTATAATACACGCATGTTTACAACATGCAAAGCTACTCTGAACTGTTTCCTGATAGCTGATGTGATGAAAACTTAGCACAGCCTCTTCAACCAATGAGTTCAGGTCACTGGTGTCCATTTCAGGAGGGTCACTGGAATTTCTTTCTATCATTGGGACTGTAACAGGATCATTATTGAAAAACATCTCCAGAGGTTCTTCCTTCCTATAGAAGGAACAGCAATATTAAGTTGATGGTCCACAAAAACAACATTATTACACAGAGCAGCACACATAAGGACTGTTTAGACTGTGTAGTCAAAGGCGGATTCCTTCCTGATGAACAGTTTATATGGCTGTGAGTTCCTAAGGACCCAATGAGAACTCTATATAACTTAGTACATAGACTCCCCATAGATACTAAATTCCTAAGAAATAAATGAGCCCTAACAAGAAGAGCATAAATATTATTCATAATTCATAAGGAAAGAGGGCAAAATATGAGGGGGCAGATTTCTCTTACTTCAAAAGCATATTATGGTTAATATAAGTTTAGATATAGAATACATGACAACCACCATCACCGTCCTGTGTGTACATGTGTTTGTGTGTGTGCATATGTGTGTGTGTTGTGTACGGATATATGTTGTATTATGGGGTATGACACAATAAGAATTTGGACTTCCATGGCTATCAGGAGAAATTTCTGACATTTCCAGCTTCAGACTGTCATTAAGAATCTTCACACAGCCAACAAGAAGAACTGCTGATAAAAACATCATCATTGATATAATGGATATGCTTACATTCTAGGAAGACTCAGATATTAAAATGACAGAGACAGGGACACCAAATCATTAGCTAAACAGTGTAATACTTCTAAGGAAAAGCAATGGTGTAGGAGGTCCTTCTATATTTGTATTGCTTTCATTGGTTATTAAAGAAACTGCCTTGGCCTAATTGATAGGGTGGAACTTAGGTAGTCAGAGTAAACAGAACTGAATGCTCGGAAGAAGGGCACAGTGGCAGACACCATGAATCTCCTGCCTGAGACAGACGTAGGTTAGAATCTTCCCAGTAATCCATGACCTTGTGGTGGCATACAGATTTTTTTAGAAATGGCTTGAATCAAGAAGTGAAAGTTAGCCAATAAGAGACTAGAACTAATGGGCCAGGCAGTGTTTTAATTAATACAATTTCTATGTGGTTATTTCGGGGATTAAACTAGTCGGGCGGGATGAAACAAGGGGCCTCGCTCATTTCAACAAACAATACAGATGAAATTTAAATGTCACTTTTCAAAAGTTACTAATGTTTGTTTTAAAGTATGACCTTTAATGAACTGAGCACATGAACAGTTTAAAATACCATCATCAACACAGCCAGATTTACTTTCTAATAGCTGACATCTTGGGTGATGAGCTCTTGCCTGTGAAGGACCAGCTGCTCAGGCAAGCCTCCTCCAGGAGCATCCTTAAAGCAGGCAGGGTGGGAGCATCTGTGTGAAGAGCTCTGATGACAACCAAAGCAGACAGGGTTGAGGGACAGCAGCAGGGAAGGGAACCCAGCCTCCTACTGCCTTCCCAATCCGCCATCAGCATGTCAAAATCACTCAAGTACATGTCCAAAACCAGGAAAGACTGGAAAACAAAATCTGCTAAAAGCATCTGCCAGAAGCACTGTTATTCTTGAGGAAAAGTATAAGCAGTCTGTCGCTAGGCAAACTTGGAGCCTCAGAACAATGGCATCCTCAAAACGCTGTGTCCTGAGATCCAGAAGGCTTAGGCTTTGAGATTTCAGACAAACCAGACTATGGGGCTAAGGCTCTGCCACATCAGTGTGCTCTACTCAGACATTGGTGGAAATATGAATGTTAAACCCCTCCTGTTCAAAAAATGTTATCCAAAATTTCAGTTACAGATTTCTAGTCATTTCAGTAAACATGGTTAAATATTACTAAAGTGAGAACATAGAAGGATGGTCACAAGTAATCCTCGAACATTACTAATAAGACAACCGATTGCTACATTCAAAGATAGAAGGAATGGAATTACAGATTTCTTATTACAAGACACAAAATCTATTTTTGCAACACTAATAATTAAGATTTAAGAAATGTATTTAGCAACCACTTAAACAACGATTAATTAAGAAGGAGACTAGAAAGTTCTGGGGATGGAGAGATGGCTCAATGGTTGAAATTACTTGTTTCAGGATGACCCCAGCTAAGACCCTAAACTATAGTGGAAAGTGTATCCAAACTGGACTTGCCCTGTAGTCAGATTGATAACAATCTTAAATGTCACCATAGAACCTTCATCCAGCAAATGATGGAAACAGAGGCAGAAACCCACATCAGAGCACTGGGCTGAGCTCCCAAAGTCCAGAGGAAGAGTGGGAGAAGTGGAAATATGAGCAAAGAGGTCAAGACCATGATAAGGACACCCACTGTAACAGTCTACCTCAGCTAATGGGAGCTCACCAACTCCAGCTGGACAGGGAAGGAACCAGCAAGGACCAAACTGGACCCTCTGAATGTGGGTGACAGTTATGTGGCTGGAACACACTGAGAGGCCACTGGAAGTGGTACCAGGATTTATCCCTACTGCTTGTACTGGATTTTTTGGAACCCATTCTCTGAATGGACACCTTGCTCAGTGTAAATATAGTAGGGAGGGCCTTGGTCCTTCCTCAAAGCAATGTGCCTCACCTTCTCTTAGGAGCAGATGGGGGATGGGATGGGGGCAAATGTGGAGGGAATGCGAGGGAGAAAGTGGGATCTGGACTTGGAATGTATAATGAAAAAAGATAGTTTATTTTCTTTTTAAAAAAATAAGATTAAAAAAGGAGAACCAAATAAGCACATGACTGATAATGATTTTGAAATGAACTCCATTCTGAATGAGAATTATCATATGAAAATAGAAGCTCTAAATTGGAAAGAAAGAGAGCAACATGGGAGCATAAGGCATCTGCAGGACTTGACGAAAGGGAAGGAAGTTCCTATACAAGAATACCTGTGATGGGTGAAAATGCGGATGACAAAAGCACATAGAGAAACATGAGACTGGGTCTGAGACCACAGTATAGTGCATATTCAACACATGTGAGGCCAGGGCAGCAAATCCAAGGTGAAACAGGCTGCCCTGGTGACCACAGGTTGGCAGGAGTAACCTATCGCTCTTCCAAACCTTAAATCCAGCATTGGTCTGTCTGTCTGTCTGTCTGTCTATCTATCTATCTATCTATCTATTTTATTAAAAATTTCCACCTTCTCCCCCCTCCCATTTCCCTCCTCCTTTCTTTCCCCTTCCCCCTCCCTCTCTAGTCCAAAGAGAAGTCAGAGTTCCCTTCCCTGTGAGAAATCCAAGGTCCTCCCCCCTCCATCCAGGTTTAGGAAGGTGAGCATCCAAACAGACTAGGTTCCCACCAAGTCAGTACATGCAGTAGAATCAGAGCCCAGTGCCATTGTCCTTGGCTTCTCAGTCAGCCCTCTTTGTCAGCCACATTCAGAATATCCGGTTTGCAGCAAGGGTATTTCTAAATGGACGTTTCCTGTCCTAGGAGCCTGGTCCCAAAACCAACTCAGAGGTGAATAATGTGGGTGGTCCTTCTGTCTATGTGTTGCTTTTATTGGTTAATGAATTAAGAACTGTCTTAGCCTACACAGAACAGAACTAGGCGGAGAAAACTAGACTGAATGCTGGGAAAAAGAACGGCGGAGTGAGAGAGAAGTCATGGAGCCACCAGAGACAGATGTTCTGAAACTTTGCTGGTAGGCCACAACCTTGTTGTGATGCACAGATTAACAGAAATGGGTTAAATTAATATGTAAGAGTTATCCAACAAGAAGTTAGAGCTAATGGGCCAAGCAGTGATTTAGTTAATACAGTATCTGTGTAGTTATTTCAGTTCTGGGCGAGTGGGAAAAACAAGTGACCTCCTCACAACAGCTGAATGTGAATTATAAATGCTCAATTGATCACTCAGACTTGTTACTAGCTACCTCTTTCACTTATATTAACCCACATTTCTTTTTATGCTTTGCCATGTGGCTCATAACTTGTTAGCTCTCTATTTACACATCCTGCTCATTTAGCAGCAGGCCGGCTTTTCTTTGACTCTTCCCTCCTTATTCCCATCATTCTCAGTTTGACTTTCTGGTATAAGTTCCTGCCCAGCTACTGGCCTGTCAGGTTTTTATTAACCAATGAGAGTAACACATATTCAGAGACTAGAAATGGATTGTTCCACTGCAGATATTTGACCTGACACTGTTCCTGGATGGCAGAGAGCTACTGGGAATAAACTCACTGAATCAATCCCTGTCATGGGGATGCCATGTAAAAAAATGCATGGATGGATACACTTATGTCATCCATATTTCAGGTTATTGAAGAACAAGGCATCTATAAGCTGAATCAACTTTCTTGCTTTTCATTACCCAGCACTTTTGTTTCTTCTGAGGCTTGTGACTTTTGACAAGTGTAAACTGTTTCCTTCTCATCCTATTGACCAACATTGTCTCTCAGATCTCAGACTGCAATGAGCACAAGAATACACAGTGTCACCCATAAAGACTTACAGTGGTGCAAGGGTTAAAGCAGAGCTGTGGACGGGAGAACAGAGCAGACACACATGCAATAGAGAGAGCTGTTCTGAAGAAGGATGGCCAATAAATACTCCATTGGTTCAAGGCACAGTGTCAGTTCAAGATAGAGAGATGGTTCACAAGGCAGATTGTTTCAAAGCACAGAGCTGACTCCAGGCATAAGGGGTCTGAACAAATGGGAGTTCAAGTGGGACACTTCAATTTGGGCTGATCACATGAGCAGGAGTCCTGGGACAGAGTTGAGAGTTTGTTGCTTTGTATCTAGTGATGCACACATTGAATGGCCTGATGATGGAGCAGTGGCTATGATACAAGTGAGGGCAATGCAGCACTCATGACTCTGGTGTTTTGGACAAGCACACAAGCTTCATTTCTCAGAAAAGGTCTTCAGACATCCATGGGTTTAGGTGTTTCTGGCCTATTAGGTTTATAGGTAGTGTAAACAGAAGTTTCTGTCCCACCCAGCCCTGTAGTCATTCAGTCCCAAAGAAACATATATAGGCTTATATTAATTATAAAATATATTGCCTATTAGCTCAGGCTTGTTATTAATTAGCTCTTTCAACCTAAATTAACCCATAAATCTTATCTATGTTTAAACACA